CAAGAGGGTTAGAGAGGGCCCTGCTGCCTTTGGAGCTTATAATCTAAGAGCGAGGGTGCTGGTGGGCCACAAAAGGTAATAACTGTGAGGGATGAACTGATAGGAAAAATAGAGGACTGGTTATAGCTGAAGGCAGGATTAGGCTTCCCTGAAGAGAGATCGCCTAAAAGTGGGTCGAGTATAGGCAATAGACGGATAGATTGGGGAAGAATGATCCAGAGGATGGGAGAGGCTCTGGAGAAGTCTTTAAGCCTGGTTTTCTAGGCATTTCTAGACATGCAGTGTTATGATCCTGAAAATTAACCCACACTTATGTCTTCTCCTGAGTGTGAGGCTGATAACTTCTTGGGCAAACCTGTATGTGAAAAGGAGGGAAATTCACCTACTTTTGTTTTTTCTTGCGCTGAATAACAGTTTTCCTGAAAATAAAAGAAATCAGGTTAGTAATGTTTTGTTGGAATATCAAATCAAAATGTTTGATTCTAAATAAATGGATAGAAAAACCTTGTATCCCGACACTCAAGTGTATGGGTATCTAAGGGGTTTGTGATTACAAACCATCCCAGCAGTAAATTTTTCCACACCAAATACCCACCACCCCCCCTCCCCCAATTCCAGCGCCCCCCCGACCCGGTCTGGCCCCTGGGCCCCTCCCCCCCCAAAAAAAAAATAAAAGTCAGCAGTTACACAAAATACTGTACTGCTTGACTTTTTATATATAATTAAGGTACTTACCTGACCAGGGTATCCAGCGGTATCCTCACCCCTGATCGGATTCTTCATTTGGGTGGTGGCACCGACCATCTTGAGTAAGGGAAACCGGGCAGTGAAGGCCTCATGCTTCACAGGCGAGTTTCTTACTGCGCATGCGTGAAGCATGCTGCACCTTTGTGATTGGGCCACAGTCCTCCTGGGACCTGTGAGACAGAGTCTCAATAGGGCTGCTTTGGGGACAGAAATGGGAGGCGGATATCTGTCAAAACCATGTACCCGACAGCTCCCCCCCTCCCCCCCAATGTCAGGTGCCAAATGTGGCAGGTGGAAGAGGGGGGCTGATAAGCAGCAGCTGCCACTTTTTGGTGCGAACTTCCCACTTTAAGATAAATATATAGATGGCAAATGCATTTTTTGTTAATGTGGATGTTACTTTAATACAGGGGGATCCTCAAACTTTTTTAAACAGGGACCAGTTTCACTGTCCCTCCAGACCGTTGGAGGTCTCCGGACTATAGTTGTTTAAAAAAAAAAAAAACTATAGTTAACAAATGTGTACACAGATGAATACAGAGATGATGACCAGAGACTGCGGGCACAGTACAGGAGATGACCAGAGACTGCGGACTCAGTACAGGAGCATGACCAGAGACTGCGGACGCAGTACAGGAGATGACCAGAGACTGCGGACCACAGTACAGGAGATGACCAGAGGACTGCGGACACAGTACAGTGTAGAAGGAGATGCATGAGACTGCGGACCGCAGTACATCAGGAATGACCAGAGACTGCGGACACAGTACAGGAGATGACCAGACCAGACTGCGGTCACACAGTACAGGAGATGACCCAGACTGCAGGACAAAGCAGTACAGTAGATGAACAGAGACCAGAGACTGCAGAGACTGCATACTGTACAGGAGATGACCAGAGACTGCAGACACAGTACAGGAGATGACCATAGACTGAATCAGACAGGAACATACTTCAGGAGCACCAGAACAGACATAGTTACAGGAGATAACCAGAGACTGCGGACACAGTACAGGAGATGACCAGAGACTGCAGACCATACAACGTCGGCGGGAATACTGGGCCGGCCGCTCCATAAGTATGCACAGACATTTCCCCCCCAAGTGTGTCTGTATGGAGCGAAATAGTTGCCGATCATTGTCAGGGTGTCCCACATGGGAGGAATATGCCCCATCATTTTTTGGTGTCAGTTGGAAGAAAACGTTGCCCCCCATCATTGGTGTCATGGGAGGAATAGTGCCCATCACTGTGTCAGTAGGGGGGAGAATCGTGCCCCATCATTGGTGTCAGTGGGTGGAGGAAGTAGTGCCCCATCATTAGTGTCATTGGGGGAGGAATAGTGCCCCCATTGTTGGTGTCAGTGGGGGAGGAATAGTGTGCCTTATCGTTGGTGTCGTGTGTGGCAAATCATTGGGGGGGAATAGTGGCCGTGTCATTGGTGTCAGTGGGGGAAGGGGATAGTGTCCCAACATTGGATGTCAGTGGGAAGATCATAGTGTCCCCCCCTCCGATGGTGTCAGTGGTCTCCAGGAATAGTACGTCATTGGTCGTCATGGGGGAAGGAATAGTGTTCCATCATTGGTGTCAGTGGGGGGGTGGAATAGTGCCGGGTGCATCGTTGGTGTCAGTGGGGGGGAGGAATAGTGCCCCCGATCGTTGTGTCAGTGGGGGGGAGGAATAGTGCCACCCCCATCGTTTGGTGTCAGTGGGGGGAGGAATAGTGCCCCATCGTTCGGTGTCAGTGGGGGGGAGGAATAGTGCCCCATCGTTGGTGTCAGTGGGGGAGGAATAGTGCTTCCATCATTGGTGTCAGTGGGAGGAATAATGCCGCATCATTAGTATCAGTGACACCAATGACACTTAACTTGCTGACCCCTGTTCCAGCATGGTGCTGCTGTAGCCAGCATACCTGGTTGCAGCAGCACCATCTGCACGGCACACTTACCCTGTCAGCTGTCCCCTTCTTCACTCCGGCATCTCCCTCACTCGATGTTCGCAAGGGCTGCTCGGCTCCGCCTCCTCACAGGTGATTGGCCGCCTGTGGTGCCTTTCCTGAGCTACAGTTCTGGTGCCCAATCACCGTGAGGAGGTCGGAGCCGAGCGGGCAGCCGCGAACATCGAGTGAGGGAGTGGCCGGAGTGAAATAAGGAGCAGCATTTCCTGGACTGGATCGTCGTGGGACTGGGACACGGAGCCAGGTAAGATACAGCAGCCCCCTGCTACCTCGCCCCTGTAATTACTGTCCCTTCCTCGCGGCAAATACGCCCCTGCTGGCAAGCTGGATAAACGTCCTTGGCGGGCCGTTTGAGGACCCCTGCTTTTAATAGGTTACAAAGAACCTGTTTTCCACTAGTAGAATTACAGTCATGTTGTGGGTTTATGGCTCTCTAACATGGTATTACAACAATGCTGGACTAGCATCTATTACAATGGTATAGCAGGAATAAGGACTACAAAAGTCAAAAGGTACCCCAGCTATGATCTTTATTGCACACCTTTACTGGTCCAGCTTGTGGAAGGGAGAGGTGGTGACATCATGATCTGAACCTTGTCCAGAGAATGCCTTGTATTCATTAACCACTTCAATACTGGGCACTTTCGCCCCTTACCTGCCTAGGTATTTTTTCAGCTTTCAGCACTGTCGCACTTTGGATGACAATTGAGCTGTCATGCAACACTGTACCCATATTAAATTTTTATCATTTATTTCACAGAAATAGAGCTTTCTTTTGGTGGCATTTAATCACCGCTAGGTGTTTTATTTTTTGCTAAAGAAACAAAAAGACCAAAAATTTGAAAAAAAAATGTTCTTAGTTTCTACAATTTTGCAAATAAGTAATTTTTCTTCTTCACTGATGTGTGCTGATGAAGCTGCACTGATGGGCACTGATGAGTCTGCACTGATTGGTAATGATATGCTACATCAATGGGCACTGATATGCTGCACTGATGGGGCTGCACTGATTATCAAGGCACTGAGGATCAGTGCCCTGATAATCAGTGTATATGTCTCTAAAGAAAGGAAAGTTGATAACCAGCTTTCCTGTGACCAGACAGTGACAGAGCTGAGGAAAGGAAATGCCAATAATTGGCATTTTTTTACATGTGATCATCTGTGATTGGACACAGATGATCACATGGTAAAGTGCCAACATCATTCGCTCGTTACCCTGATTGATGATGTGCCTTGTCCGAGGGACACAACACCACTGCTCGGCGCGCTGCGCGGCAAGAATGGGAGGACGTCATAAGAACGAGAGCAGCAGAACCAGTTAAAAAAGAAAACAAGGCGCTGTGAATGGTGGCAGTACTGATGAGCAACCCCATGTGGTCAGAGTGCCGAGTGGAACTCACTTGGAACAAGGCCTGGAAAATCACGGCTATCACCGTAGCAGTGCTGACTACTACAGTGATTGTCGGTTTCCCCAGCGGGCTCCTCACGTATAAAATGTGCATACTTACATTGGTCCAAGTTAGCGCTGGTGCATTGGTTGCAAGTATGCAATAAAGATCACACCTGGGGATTAGCTATAAAAAACACTTACTTATAGGCCTTCTGTAGACTTAGAGTCTGTGCGCACAGGATTCATTTTGCTTGCTTATGTTATAGTTCATACTATATTATGTATATATGGAACTTTTATTAGATTTTTACATCTAAAAACACATACAAGGATGTATTATAAAAAATACATTTTAAAAAGCTCACATTAAAAAACCAGGGCTAAAACTAGATGCAAGCTTTTCCACATATTATACAATATTACAGGAAATACTGTGTTAATATCACACCATCGGAACTAAGGCCGTAATACGAAGAAATGACATATAGAATTTGATTTGTGTTCAATATATCAATGTGTTGATTGAGTTTGTTAATGTTAACATCCAATCAATATAGACAAGGATATGCTGTTGGTCTCATATTCAGGAATAATATGCCCTCTACTGGCAGATAAGAAGCATAGTATTTACTGGGAAAGTAAGACATTGTAACAGGTGAACAGATACATACTCTATAGTCAGGGGTAGGCAACCTTATGAGCATAGTGTGCCGAAATCATGAAAAGGAGAAACTATTTAAATAGTAAAAAATTATGTCCTGCGAGGTACTGTAGGTAGGGTAAGGTTGGAATGAATATGCCAGCCAGATCATTCCCAATTCCTGCACCTTCACCCCTCAGATCAGTCCCAATTCCTGCACCTTCACCCCTCAGATCAGTCCCAATTCCTGCACCTTCACACTTCAGATCAGTCCCAATTCCTGCACCTTCACCCCTCAGATCAGTCCCAATTCCTGCACCTTCACCCCTCAGATCAGTCCCAATTCCTGCACCTTCACCCCTCAGATCAGTCCCAATTCCTGCACCTTCACACGTCAGATGAACCCCAGTTCCTGCACCTTCACACCGCAGATCAGTCCCAATTCCTGCACCTTCACACTTCAGATGAACCCCAGTTCCTGCACCTTCACACCTCAGGTGAATCCCAGTTCCTGCACCTTCACACCTCGGATCACCCTAATTCCTGCACCTTCACTCCTCAAATCAGCCCCAATTCTTGCACTTTCAGAGCTTAGATCATCCCCAATTTTAGCACCTTCACACCTCATATCAGCCCCAATTCCTGTACCTTCACCCCTCAGATCAGCCCAATTTCTGCACCTTCACCCCTCAGATCAGTCCCAATTCCTGCACCTTCACCCCTCAGATCAATCCCAATTCCTGCACCTTCACCCCTCAGATCTGTCCCAATTCCTGCACCTTCACCCCTCAGATCAGTCCCAATTCCTGTTCAGATTTCCATTGCTGCACCTTCACAACTCAGATCAGACCCAATCCTGCACCTTCACGCCTCAGATCAGTCCCAATTCCTGCAACTTCACACCACAGATCAGTCCCAGTTCCTGCACCTCCACACCTGAGATTAACCCCAGTTCTTGCAGTTCCTATATACAAACTGGGTTTGGGTGGGCAAAATATCTTTCAATAGCCTATCTGCCCTCATTATTGGCTAATGTTTTTTAAAAAATGCTCTCTATCTTCTTATGATGTGCATTAAAATCCATGATGATGGTATCTGGTCCCATGCCACATCTTCCCTCATTCTGTCTTCAATAAGGCTTTTCGATCTAATTTCAAAATATCTTGGATTGCTTCCTTAATCACGCTAGGTTTATAACCTTTATTAATGAAACGTTCTCCTATTAAATTTGCTTGGTTTTGGAAGTCATCTACATAGGTACAGTTCCTACGTAAGCAAATGAATTGTCCTTTTGAAATATTTAGTAGCCATGGGAAATGGTTACAGCTATCAAAAAGTAAAGTATCCATTTCTGTCTACCGTTTTAAAATACATTTTTGTTGTTAGGCCCCCATCTCTAAAAGATATCTCAAGATCCAAAAAAATTGATTTTAGTCTTATCAATCTCCCATGTTATAAAATGGATATTCTTATTATTTGTATTAGGGTGATTCAAGAATTCCTCAAATTCATCTTTTGCTCCTTCCCAAATGATAATCACATTATCGATGTACCATTTAAATAACTCTAATTCCTTTGGAGGATTATTATAGTTCTTTCCTGTGCCCAGAGGGACATAAAAAGGTTAGAAAGACTGGGAGCAAACCTTGCGACCTTTGCATTTCCTTTGATCTGCCGATAAAAATCTTTATTGTGCCAGAAATAGTTATGTTGTAGGCAGGATTCCAGACATTGTAATAGATATTTCCTTCGATTCGATTGCTGATTTCCTAATTCTCTCATTGCCCAACTCATGGCTTCAATGGCATCCTGATAGCCAATAATGGTATATAACGATGCCACATCGGCAGGTACCAAAAAAATATCATTACTGGATTGGGGGCCTATTTGAAGATCATCAAGGAGTTGTATGAGATGCTTGGTATACCTAAGATAAGATCTCGTCTTCAAAACCAGAGGTTGTAAAAAATAATCAATAAATTGACCTATATGTACAAATTCCTCCTGCGCTTATATGCAGTCTCTAGCAAACTTAAGCTGCTAGCACTCAATTCTGGAACCTTCAAACAGTGCTCAATATATAAGTCAAAAATAGTGCAGCGCTATAAGAAATACAACAATATAGTCACAAAGAGGATTATATAGGATAAAGTGGCACACGTGCTCAATAAACATGCAAAAAATAGGTGCTGTGCCACCAAATAAAACCTTAACAGCATTGGTGAAATGCCATATAATACTTATAAGTGTACTCAGTGCATATGGTGACCAAAAAAATCAGAGACTAATACAGTTCATAGATGGTATTCTGTGTTTCACTCATAAGGCCAAAACATGCAGGTAGTGATAACGCATGTGAAATTCCGTGACGGTGTCAATCCTCATATGGCTAACTTGCCCCCTTACCTTAACTCAATGACCCAATGGGCCGTCACGCCTTTAAGATCACTTAGAGATCTTAATCCAAAGGTAGATATCCTCAGCAGACCCTCTGTAGACTCCTCCGTGATATGCAAGTATTCAGGACACTCAGGGTACTTTGCAGCCACTAGATATGTCACTCATCATGACAATGGTGAGCGAAAAAAGAACTTTCCATAGTGTAGTAATTGAGTAAAAATGAGTAATTTATTTTAAACAAACTCTTACATTCTAGTAGTCTTTCATTACATAAGTCTTCCTTGTGTGTGGACACAGTGCATGGGTACTGGCTCTTCCTGGTGTAGCAAGATGGCGATTAACCGGAAGTGCGTCACCACGGGTCGGACCGGATGCTACGTCACTGCGTATCTACGCGTTACGTCACAGTGTCTTGTGACTTCATCAGGATAACGCTATTGGTGGGCAGCTCTCCCTTATATATTAACTAAATAGACTGCAGACAGCTGTTGCCTATTTAGTCCTCATTATCTCTGGCCGGCGACCATATTACTGGAGTCCCGTCGCTAATACAGTGTATTGCTGTGTCAACTAAAAGTTAGTAACAGAAGATACCTGAGATACAGGATAATCTTCGCCGGCATATTCCATAACACGTTTCAAAGCAGTAAACACCAGCTATAAGTATGTAATATACCCTCATATCCCATAATCTATACAAATTACTTAAAATATCAACTTTATTAAATAGCGATTAAAAAATGCATTAAATAATTTCTGAAGATATAAACATGATTCAATAATGAATAAAGGAATAAAAAATATAATATATATGAAATATAAATATATATAAATAGTAATTAAAAAAAATATATATATAATCAGTATTGCCACCTCATGCAGTGTACCCATACATTTACAATATACCCACATCAGATCTACACAATATAATCAGTTTAATAAAAAAAATCTTTAATTATAAAAAAATGCTCATATTCAACCAATATTAAAAATCACTAATAAAACAGTTTAGATCAAATTCCACATTCAGCCCTTTTGGAACTTGTGTACCCATGTGGAAAATCCATTTTGATTCTGCTTTGCTTAAAGATCTGACCTTGTTACTGCCCCTCCAGTGTCTTTTGAATTTTTCAATACCCCAAAATTTCAACATCTGGGGGTCTTTGTTATGATACATGGCAAAATGCTTAGAAACACTATGTTTTGGGAAACCTTTTATGATGTTCTGTACGTGCTCTGTAATTCTTTTCCACATTGGTCTTTTGGTTCGTCCTTTGTATTGGAAACCACATTCGCACTCAGGGCCATAGACAACCCCCTCTGTTCTGCACGATATGAAATCTTTGATTTCATATTCCTTCACAGTGGTATTTGCTTTAAATTTTTTCCATTTTTTGTTCAGCCCTCTAGTGGCCACACACGCAAAGCAGTTCTTACAGGGAAAGAAACCTTTTGTATCTAAAAAGGTGACCCTATTAGAAACGGGGGGGGGGGGGGGGGGGTCTATTACATTTTTAACAATTTTTGACCTAATGGTCGGCACTTTCCTATATATAAACTGGGGGGGGGGGGGGAAGTAATACTTCTTTTAAAACTGGATCTAATTTAAGAACATGCCAATGCTTAATAAAAATCTGTTCAATTTTCTTGTGATGGCTATTAAAATCTAATATTACTGCTAGTTCACCTCCAGCTTCTTTTTCTTTTTTAATAACATCCTGGAGTAAGGTCGATCTATCAATATTACCAATTTCATCTATTTTATCTTTTATCATATCACTGGAATAATCTTTTTCCATGAACTGTTCTCCTAATTAGGAGAATGGTTCATGGAAAAAGGTTATTCCAGTGAGCTGGAATTTCACATGCGTTATCACCACCTGCATGTATTGGCCTTATGAGTGAAACACAGAATACCATCTGTGAACTATATTAGCCTCTGATTTTTTGGTCACCGTATGCACTGAGTACGCTTTTAAGTATTATTATATGGCATTTCACCAATGCTGTTAAGGTTTTATTTGGTGGCACAGCACCTATTTTTTTGCATGTTTATTGAGCACGTATGCCACTTTATCCTATATAATCCGCTTTGTGACTATATTGTTGTATTTCTTATAGCGCTGCACTATTTTTTGACTAATAAATTGACCTAGTCTAGCTCCCACCAACTGAATTTCATTAACAATGGGCCGACCAGGTGGCTTAAGGTTATCCATATGAATCTTCAGAAGTGTATAAATAACAGGAACCCTGCAAGTGTCCGGGACCAGATACCTAGATTCTTTATCATTCAAAACCTTTTTTCTTCACCCCTTTTTTAATAAGATGATCTAGTTCCTTCTTGTAGTTGATCGTGGGATTAGACACTAATCTTTCATAGGTGTCTGTATCACATAATTGGTGTTGGAGCTCCTTCAGATAATAATCTTTGGAGAGGACAACAATCACCTATTGCCTAATCATAATATCACTTCTTTTTTTCTAGTCTTTTTATTCTATCCATCCCTTTATTCTGTACAATCTTTGGCAATTTAAGCGAACCCAGATCCTGGGTAACCATCCTCCTGACGACTTCTACATGGCCATTATCATTAATTTGAGGGTTACATTTTTGATTTATTCCTGTAGTGGGTATGTTCAATTTCTAAAATCAATGTGGTCGTTCTAGTTTCTCTCACTTCCAGTTGATTCAAAACATATTTCTTGATATTGTCGGCAGGGCTGAGATAGGAGAGATCTATGTGTAAACAATACAGATCTCTCTCCTGTCAGCATGGACATGCTGCTTTCTCTCTCCCTGCACAGCAAAGAGATACACAGCAGCATATTTCCCAAGTAAAACACAACACAGCACACATATTAAAACACACACAGCACACTATTAACCCTTTAATCGCCCCAGATGTTAACCCCTTTCTGTCCAGTGTCATTGGTACAGTGTGAGTGCTTTTTAGTAGCACTGATTACAGTATTAGTGTTACTGGAGATGTCAGGTGCAGTTAGTCAGTTCCCACCCAGTGTCAGAATGCCTGCTGCGCAATTCCGGTATATGTCGCAGGTCACCGCCATTACTAGTATAAAATAAATTTCCAGTATATATTGCCATTTGTAGAAGCTATAACTTTCATGTAAACCAATTAATACACAGTTGTTGGCATTTTTTTTTAGCAAAGACATGTAACAGAGTACATTTTGGCCTGAATTTTTGAAGACATTTTATTTTGTTAATTGTTTATTGGATATGTCTTATAGCAAAAAGTCAAAAATATATTTTTTTTCAAAATTGTTTTGATTTTGATTTGTAGAAGTGATCAAATACCACCAAAAGAAAGCTCTATTTCTGGGAAAAAAAGACAC